CAGAGCTGCTCTCCAGAAGGTTGGTCCCCAGCCTGTACTGGTGTCTGGGGTTATTCCTCCCCAGGTGCAGGACCTTGCACTTGGCCTTGTTGAATTGCATGAGGTTTTTCACCGCCCAGTTGTCCAGTCTGTCCAGGTCCCTCTGGATGGCAGCACAGCCCTCTGGGGTATCGACTACTCCTCCCAGTTTGGTATCATCAGCAAACTTGCTGAGGGAGCGCTCTGTGCCTTCATCCAGGTCATTGATGAATAAATTGAACAGGACTGGACCAAGGACTGACCCCTGGGGGACCCCGCTAGCTACAGGCCTCCAACTGGACTCTGCACCACTGATCACCACCCTCTGAGCTCTGCCATCCAGCCAGTTCCCAATACACCTCACTGTGCACTCATCTATCCCACACTTCCGGAGCTTGCCCTGGAGGATGTTGTGAGGGATATGTGTTGTGATGCCTTAATGAAACCAGAAAAGGCAATGAGATAGAAAGAGAAGTCTCCATTTTCAAGCTCAATGTGATTAACACAAATGTCTGAACAGATCAAGAGCCTAAAAAAAGATAAAATTAAATGTTGTCCATCTAGTCCTAGCTCCATTTGCAGCAAAAATGTTCATTCTTTTATACAACCCTGGTCTTCGCAAATATCCATAATAACAATCAAGCCCATTATTTTGATGCATTTTGTTAGGCAGTCAAAATACTTGCATTGTGCTACTGTGTGTCATTTATTATAATGGAATTTTTGCCTCCATAATGGATTGGGTGAATAGGAACTTTTTGTCTTCTCAATTTTTCACAACTCTATAGAGCTGGTAGAAATGTATGAAATGTATGTATCGGTTTTGTTTCATGTATTGCCTTTCGTTTTTCTTTCTTTCTTTCTTTCTTTCTTTCTTTCTTTCTTTCTTTCTTTCTTTCTTTCTTTCTTTCTTTCTTTCTTTCTTTCTTTCTTTCTTTCTCTCTCTCTCTCTCTCTCTCTCTCTTTCTTTCCTTCTTTCTTTCTTTCTTTCTGTCTGTCTCTCTCTCTCTCCTTTTCTCTCTCTCTCTCTCTTTTTCTTTCTCTTTCTCTTTCTCTTTCCTTCTTTCTTTTTTTCTTTCTGTCTGTCTCTCTCTCTCCTTTTCTCTCTCTTTCTCTCTCTCTTTTTCTTTCTCTCTCTCCTTCTTTCTTTCTCTCTTTCTCTCTTTCTCTCTGAATTTCTGAATTTATTTCTTTCTCTCTTTGTCTCCCAGTTTCTGCCTCCTACAAAACATAATGTAATACTATGTTCTCAATTTGGGACTGTCAGAATATAATTGTTTCTAGAAAACTGAGAAATTGAGATAAACATTCAGGTAAAAGGTGGCTGCTCTGCAGTGTATATTACACTAGAGAACCCCAACACAGCAGAAGAAATGGGGATGCTGCCATCATGTGTCACGGGCTCCCTACATCCTCCCCTTCTCCTCCAAGACTCCTTAAGACAAACTTGGCTTATGGCCCTCCGCTCAGGAGGAGTGATGAGGGCAAGGGTTCTGTGTTATTAAATTATTAGGAAGATGTTTCATGCAAATCCTCATAGGACCTTCCCGAGTTTCTGCCTCATGAGGGGTACGTACGCTCCTGCTTCAAACCACAGCCCTGACCACCCTCCCACCTCAACATCGAACTGATAAAAGTACTCCCTAGGGAGGCTACCAATCTTATTTCCCCTCTTGCCTCTGAGATTTTTTATGAGAACTCTAGTGTTTGTCCTTTCTTGGTCATTTTGCAGTTGGCGGATCACTATCAATGCAGTAGAACTCTTCCCAGTTTCCTTTAACATTGATGGCAGTTTCAAATACTGGTGGATAGAAATAAGGATGCTTTTTTTTTTTTTTTTCTGTCTGATCTGCTGACCTGGAGTTTCCACTAATTTCCAGATACACAGTTCCGGGTTTTCAAATAAATTACAAAACTGCAATGAAATAAAAAAAGAACAATGATAAGAGATTTATTTCAGTACAGATTTCAGTACAGAAGGCAACTTTCTCTATGTACTGATTACATTGACTGAGAAAGGATGTGAACTCTCTTTTGGTGATTATATGTTGGAAGTTGGACGTTCTCTTAGGTTTCCAGATAAAGAATGATACAAGAAAAATAAAAATAGGTGACTACTGGTTAGTGAATTAAAAAACTGTTCTTCTATTCCCAGGACAGCCACGAGAAATGACACCAACATTTTTGTTAAGCTGAAATCAAAAATTTTTACTTAATTTCATAACATAGCTGACAAACTAAAAGGTTAAAGGAAAAAATGAACACATAATTGAACTGAAGTAAAAATACTTTCAAACTCAAAATACATCATATTAAGAAATACAGGGATGGGAAAGCAATTTCATTCTGCAGTCTCAGAAGATTTTGAAAACCTCAAAAGGGATGGGTCTCAGTCTCAGAAGATTTTGAAAACCTCAAATCTTGTTCTTTCACTTGTTTGGAATGGTGCTGAAACAGTTGAACACACAAGCACATCTATATTAAATGCACAGAAAAAAAATGGTTTTCTGTTTGGGTGGTATTTAAACGTACAGTTCTAAGTAACAGAAGAGTTACCTCCTGTAATGGAAACATAAGAATAAATGAAAAACCTAGGAGCTATAGGTAAGGAAATTGAAAACTTCTAGGAAAAATTTGAGGCCTTACTGCCTCCTCCATTTTACAAGTTGGATATAATAACATTTCATGGGAAGAGTTCTGTCCTTAAGCTTGAATTGCAGAGTTTACTTTTGTTTATTCTGGAGACATAAATATTTTTCCTTAGAATTGTTGCCTGATAACCTCCTCAGTGCACACCTAATATCTAGATTTACCTGGCACAACAATCCTCTACCTTGAACACTTAAAAACGTATTGTTAGAGGCAGCTCGAGCGTTGGAGGAAGCACTGAATTTTGCTATTTCAAGAAAGGGGCTTGGGGGTTATGTGGGAGGGAGGTTGTCAGTGCTGAGCAACTCCCACTACAAGGATAGAAGAGGAAGCTGGCAAGAAAACACGAGACTGCTCCAGTGACACAGGAGACAGGGAAATAAGAATGGTGCCTGGTGCCTGGGAGGAGCTCCTCTTCCTTCTCTCCACAGCAGCATGCACCAGCTCACTCATCACAGAAACTCTAATCAACTTTGTAAGGCTCTGACATCATGCAAAAGGATTGAAGTGGGGAGAAGGACAACTGCTTTTTTTTTTCCCTATATTTGTTTTTTTAAGTAACCATCTGTCTGGCCTTTGACTAAATCCATCATCTACAAGAGCAAGTCAGTATTACTGTGGACCTTAATCACAACTGCTAAGTCTTTCTATTAGAGAAAAGGAAAAAAATTATTAGTTTTTCAGAATGTAATGTCGACAGAAATGGCTGCAGGTCTACTAAGGTATCATTTCTTCATCTCACGTACAATCACTTTTTATGGCAATGTGAACTCAGTATTAGCTAATTTATCATGATCTAAGTTGATAACATGGTTGTTGGTGTTAGTCCAGTATGATGAGTGTTTCCTTTTGGAAAAGTCATCAAGTATTTCTATAAAAACTGCAATCTATTGTGCTGCTTCTTTGGGTACATTTAGTACTGTTCCTGTCTAG